TGTCTTGCAACCCCACCTTGATTGAATAACGACGAGCTTAGCGTTCCAGTATTACAGCACCTCAGCTACAAGTTTTATGGCGACGATGTTTTGCGTCAGTCGATACATCCACAGCCGTTCATCGGTTTGTTTTGTTTACATCCTCAAGTTGTTTCCTCCGCCACAAGTGCGTATAGCTTCTGACTTTTGCGCACAATCCTATAGCTACTCTGGTTACGTGCATGTTCTACACTTCGCTGGAACGCAGAGGCTGGTGCTGGCTTCAGAGCTTCTCCTAACAACAAGAAGGCCTCCGGAGCACATCTTGGCCCTGACTACGGAGCAGTGCGAAACGCTTTAGAACTGCGCACGATATTGTTCTTTTTTATTACTATATGCGCAAAGATGCAATGTAATATGCTTGGATGAATATATTGAAACCCCAACCTATGCGGATTGAGGTGGTTCATGGAAAGAGGTGACGCTACATGAAATAGCGAAGTTTATTGGAAATCTAAAGGGAATATTCACCGCACGGGTATCCATCTGTGTTAGAATACCCGGAGACTCTTATCACAGCACAACACATATTTACTGAGAAAAAGTGTACACTGAGTACACTTGTTCGCACAAAAAATATGCAATGCTTCACCGCATGGCACGAGCAACGAAGCAGCACCTCAGTTCTGATTTTTTTTTTTGTCTATGTGAACAGAAACATTTTGTACAGCGTTCATTATTTTTTATACTATTTTTGGGTCATTAATATACAAAATGTATATTCTGAATTTTCTTTGTTTTGAATTTTTTTGCTCATATAGTGTATCTTATTGCCCTGTTTACCAGCTTGAGACCAAAAATTCTATACTTTTCACTTTTTTCCCAAGAAAAAAATTTTTTTCCCTAAAATCCTAAAATATTTTTGTTGCTCTACAACATACATTTTTTGAAAAGAGTATTTCGTTGTGCAAAGTTTGGAATGTTGCAATGCGTGATGGAGTACTGTTCCAATTGGCAAAAACGATCTTCCCGAGACATATAAAAAACAACTATTTTCACGCAGTAACGAAAGAGTATAAGCCTTTATCTCGACTCATCTGCCATAGGCCCTTGTTTGCGTCGACAACCGCTCTTTACAGGCTGCCGTCAAGCACTGGTACCTCCGATATCATGCATACCACTACCTGTACCTGAAGGGAAATGGAGCGCATGTTATCGACCTCTTTCGGCAATGTGCTCACTAGTCCTGCCGATGCACCCAAATCTCAGTACACAGGCCTACAACATTTTCGCCTCCATCGGAAATACAGCCATCGTAGCCGGGATTCGCTCCCTCGACCTACGGGTCAGCAGCCGAGTACTTTAGCCACTAGACCACCGCAGCGTGGCTCCGACTTTTCTGCTATAGTTTCCCGCACATAAAGGTTACTTGCGCTATAGTGTACTAGAATATTTTAGTACACCATACTTGCGCTTGTACCACCGGCTGCTTTGTCCCCTCCCACCCCCACAACTACTTTGCTGAAGCTGGGTCTTGTGACCATTGAACCAATTGAACCTGTTTCTTCGAACATGTTCCTCACTTCCTCTCCGCCGTTCTAGGTGCTAGTGCCCTACCGTTTTCGCGATCCGCTGCTCCTTTATTCACCTTGCCCACCTTCGCTAGTGTCTTCACAGCTGACCTAAACTTTTCGCCCATAGCCTTCGTTTTTTCTTGCTCTCTCGCCGACGCAGTCTTCAGCTCGGTGATTCTCATTATCAGTTCACTCTGGCAAACATCAATTTCTCCATTTTTTCGCCTCGACCTCACATTGTCTACAATTGCGTCAGCTTCCTCTGCATTCACATTCGCACTATCCTCCATTATCAAACCCACCTTGCATCCTGATCATTTTGCAGTTTTTTTCACCATGTTATTTTTTTTAGTCATTTGACACAAATTCACCAGTGTCCACGAGTAGCTGAATTGTCCCACTGGCTAATTATAGGACGCGGAGTACGAAGAACACTGCCCTAGGTCAAAAAAGTAAGCTCTAGAACAAAAATTTACGTGGGCGATGTAACTTGTACTTCTACACCATGGTGGCAGGAGAAAAAACAAAAAAAAATATTAGGTGACTGAACCCCCAACAGCCGTAGAATGTAAAAGGTGCAATAAAGGTTTACGCCACTGCCTTATCAACTAATAACAACAAGCTCGAAGCATACAAAAAGTCACAGCTTTGCCACAAAGGCGAAGCAATGAACGCGTTAGCAACGAATTGGAAGGTCACTCGCAGAATGGCAAGCAGATCGAAACGTGTTCCACGTTTCTCACGCACAATTACCGCACGAAACGTACTCACGAACAAGAATAATTGTTTGATTGATTTATATGTGGGGTTTAACGTCCCAAAACCACCATATGATTATAAGAAACGCCGTAGTGGAGGGCTTCGGAAATTTTGACCACCTGGGTGTTCTTAATGTGGTCCCAAATCTACGGGCCTACACCATTTCCGTCTCCATCGGAAATGCAGCTGCCGCAGCCGGGATTCGATCCCGCGACGTGTTGGTCAGCAGCCAAGTACCTTAGCCATTAAACTACCACGGCGGGGCCGATGAACACGAATAATCGCCTCAGTTGTTACTTCGCTGTGTCCGAAAAGCGTGCTCTTTTCGCAAGCTGAAACAATTTTAGTGACCTTTGTGCGCCTGGTAACTACAACAGAATCGTTCCAGTGAAAGCCAAAGGCCAGCCAAGATGTGAGATCATCCCCACCGCGAGATAATAGCGCGCGAGTTAGCGCCCACCTCATCCTTTTCGCGGGGCAAGCACGCGTGGGAAATGAGAGTGCTCGCCGCCGCGTCATGACGATGTGGCAACGCATGCTCATTGCGCCATCTTATTGGTAATGCTGCGAACCCTACAGTTCTCCCCATGATGCCTATAACCATCGGTAAGTGGTAAATATATATACGTTGCCGTTTGAACGTTGAAGGACGTGCTCCTCCGTGGTTTACGCCTCGCAGTCACGTTTGAGATGTCTCACGTCCGACTCCCCGCATTTTTCTTTCTTGCGTCAGACAATAATGCCAAGGAATGTATAGGGGAAGTTATTAGACAAACTGTAATGTAATTGTGAAGAAAGAAAAGTGGGTGAAAAGATAACTTGCCGTGAGCAGGAACCGAACCTTCGACCTTCGAATAACGCGTTCCATGCTCTACCTTTGAGCTACCACGGCGGCTATCCCCCCAGCCATTTTATTGAGTTTACATGTGAATTTAAACGTGGGAGTATCAGTCAGCGCCACCTGTAGCCATGGAGGCGAGTGTGGCACACTCTTCATGAGTTTGTTTGGCGTCACGTAGCACGCGAACTTATTACGAACTGGCAGCTGACCAATAGTCCCTCGTATACAACCTAGCGGCACTAAGTCTGCCAGTATGAGACCCTCGTTAGTGAATAAGGGAAAGAAGGGTATGCTTGAGGGCTCGTTTTTTCGTGTTTTGACACAATAATAATGAGATCTAACAGACAATAATGCCAAGGATAGTATAGTGGAAGTTATTAGACGAATTGTAATGTAATTGTGAAGAAAAAAAAGTGGGGTAAAATATAACTTGCCGTGAGCAGGAACCAATCCTTCGACCTTCGAATAACGCGTTCGATGCTCTACCACTGAGCTACCACGGCGGCTATCCCGGCGGCGTTATTCGGAGGTCGTAGGTTCGATTCCTGCTTACGGCAAGTTATTTTTACACCTTTTTTTCTTTCTTCATATTTACTTTACATTGGTTCTAATAACTTCCCCTATACATTCCTTGGCATTATTGTCTGTTAGGTCTCAATAATATTGCGTCAAAACACGGAAAACGAGCCCTTAAGTATACACTTCCTTATATATATATATATATATATATATATATATATATATATATATATATATATATATATATATATATATATAATATATATATATATATATATATATATATATATATATATATATATATATATTGCTACATGACGCGACGGATAACTCGATAAGGAAGAAGACGATGTCGAAGCTCTTGTGCAGACTGGGTTCCATCTTTTATGCCTGCTTGTTAACTAGATAGTAAGCATATTTCTCCAACGCTTATTTCCCCGTAACATTTTGGGTGGAGAGTGCGGGTCCTCCCAGAATCAACATCCATGACGATTCTACGAAGCTGGCGTTCCTTGGCTGCCTTTACGATGGCTGTTCACAACGAGAACGAGAATTCGTCAGTACGTTCCCCAAGCGTGCCTCGTCAGACCACGCAGCATCCAACAGCATCGCATCCAGCCGTCACGAACCGCATCATCGTTCCGGCGACTCCATATGACCCAGGCAGCTTTTCCGGCAACGACGACAAGGATGTCGAAAAATGGCTTCAGCTATACCAATGGGTGAGTGCACTGTACAACTGAGACCCGATGCTCATGTTGGCCAATATTCTATTTTACCTTGAGGGCACGGCCAAAGTCTGGCTTTCCAGCCATGAGGAAGAAATCACGAATAAAATACGGTCCTGTTGCAAGCATCTTTCCGCCCGGTGACGGACCAGCGTTTTGATGCTCATTTTTCTGATACGAAATCATTTTACGCTTAAGATTCAGGGGCATCAGCTTCTTTGGATGACTCGCATCATCCTGCAGATTCCTCAGTCTCAGCATAGCACCAGAACACACGGAGTGCAAAGAATAAAAATAAAATAATAACTATATACACTAAAAACGAATCCTTGTCCAACTGGGTGAAATAGTGGCTACGGTACTCGGCTGCTGACCCAAAAGGTCGCGGGCTCAATCCTGGCCACTGCTGTCCCCGATGGGAGCTTAATTGCAGAGGCCCGTGTGATATCAGTGCACGCTAAAGAACACCAGATGGCCAAAATTTCTGGAGCCCCCAAGACTACGGCGCATCTCACAATAATATGGTAGTTTCGGGACGTAAAACCCCACATAATAAAACGAACTCTATTTTACAAAAGTGTCAAGTGACGCCGTGCTCACCTGGTCAGGCACACTGCTGACGATCATCTCGCCGATCCTGAAGTTGCCCGGAGGCAAGACGTAGTGCTCGAGCTCTCGCACGTCGGTGCCAGAGTCGTCCTCGAAGATGATACTCGAAAGCGTCAGAGCCAGCTTTACGATGGCCTGAAGCACGAAGTCGGTCGCCTTGTTTCGCCACAGGTAGCGCAGCAGGTCGTCCACATGAACCAACAGCTTGTTTTTGCCCACTAGGCCGAATCTGTACTGGTCCGGCATCCTGGCCAATCGAATTATGATCAATCAATCAATCAGTTTATTATCATGTCATAAAAGGATGTTACAGGGAGTAAAATATACAGACGAGGGGCCCAAAGTACAAGACTGCAACGGGACCCTCGGTGATCATTACAAATAATAAAAGCACGAGCAGCTGTTAGAATCGTAGAAACAAAAATATATAAAGCAGAATGAAAACAAAAAGGCATGGAATCAAAAACAAATAATACAGCATAAAACAACACAAAGAAGATAGATAAATTATTTAACAGGTACTCTTTTAATGAGTTTTTAAATGAAGATAAAGAAACTTTCATTTCAGCGAAGTGGGCAAATTATTCCATATGGTGATGGTACAGAAGAGAGAAGATGATTTACCATAGTTAGTACGAACCTTAGGAAGTAAAAAGTTATTATTAGCCGCAAACTTGGTTGTGTTAGTATTAACTAACATCTTAGGATAAATGAAATTAGCAGAAAGTTCATTTTTTATTTGTTTATGCAGAAACATAATTAGACTAAACCTGAATAGATAGCTAACAGTCAAGATTTTATTGCATTGAAGAAGGGGAGCGGCGCTACAGTTAAAAATAGCGCGAATAGCTCGATTTTGTAGATGTTGTACGGATGAAAGATGACACTGCTAAGTATTCCCTCATGATGCGATGCCATAAGTGATATGAGAATGAATGAATGCGAAGTAAAGTGAAAGGAGTGCTTTACGAGAAAAATATGAGCGAGCTCTGAGTAATGCGCGAATGCCGAATGCTGCCGTTTTTCTAATGTGAGCAATATGGAGAGCGAAGTTAAGGTTAGCGTCGAGGTGAACGTCAAAAAAAGATACACTGCCGCTGATATTAATCAAATGAGAGTCAACTGTGAGCTGTGGTGAGGAAGTTAGCTTGCGTTGAGCTGATCTAAAAACCATAAACTTAGATTTATTTGGAATATTAATTAAGAAATTTTCCTGGCACCATTTTGACAGGCTACAAAGTACGGCATTTAATTTATTAGTGACGTTGTCAATACATCTATCAGCAATGGAAATGGTAGTATCATCAGCATATAAAACGCAGTGAGCCATGTGTATAATGTCAGGAAGGTCATTAATGTAAAGTAAAAAAAGTAACGGACCCAGTAATCACCCTTGAGGAACCCCTTGATTCATTGTTTTAGTAGAAGAAAATGAGCCCGATATGTAAACAGTATGCTTTCTGTTAAGGAGGTAACTGTTTAAAAATTTGAGGGATGGACCTGTAATACCGTAAGATTCGAGTTTCTTGGATAAAATGAGATGATTAATGGTATCAAATGCCTTTGTGAAGCCTAAGAAAACTGACCCTACTACAAATCCTGCGTCCATGGAGTGTTTGATGAAGTCTCATAGGGAAAGAATAGCAAGGTTAGTAGAACTTCCAGCGCGAAAGCCATATTGACAGGGCTTCAGTATATTAAATTTATTAAGGTACTTGTTTAGCCGAGTTATTAACAGTTTTTCGATGACCTTGCTCAGGGAATAAAGAATACAGATGGGGCGATAGTTAGAAATGAATTGTTTTTCCCCCTTTTTAAAGATCGGAAGGACTTTAGCTATTTTTAGAGAAGTAGGGAAACTGCCATGCTTGAACGCAAAGCTTATAATTATAGAAAGTGGTTCAGAAATAATATCTACTGCAAGTTTTAAGTGTGTGCTGAGATTTTATCTATACCAGGGCCGGTTTCTTTGAGACTCTTGATTGCTGTAGAAACATCATCAGGGCTCACAGGGAAAAGAAAAAAAGAATGATTAGAACGTTGTAGATTACAGCAAGAACTGCTATGTTTTTCACTAAAAATTTCGAAAAAAATAATTACTAAAATCATCAGCAACACTTTCAGGGTTATCGTGTGTAACGCCTTTATATATGACTTTCTGGGTGAATTATGTATTGATCGATTTAGAAAATCGTTTAAGAGTTTCCATTGTCTTTTAGAGTTGTTTTTTTCACTAGATATTTGCTCATCATAATATTTTTTTTGGCATTTTTCAAGAGACACGAAAGAACATTCGAGTATTTTTTATAGCGTGAAGCTAAAGCAGTGTTAAATGGTTGTTTTTTTATTTTTCTGTACAGGTTATTTTTTCTACGCATACTTTTTAGCAGTCGCTCAGATAACCGTGGGTTCTTAGGATATTTGTACCTCTTTTTACATTTGACTGTTTTAGTACATTCTTCTACGGCTTTAAGGAAAAGGGAAAAAAACTTGTTGAATGCCTGGTCTACATTGCATAAGGACGTAACACTGGACCAATCAGTTTTAATAATGGCATTGAAAAACAATTCCTGATCAAGTACGGAAGTAACACGCGTGGGTGGATCAAATGAAAAAAAAAAAGTTCTGCAGCATGTTGCACTGTCTATCGCACCTGAGGCCTGTTGCGCACATGGTAGAGCAATATAAGTTTATACACTTTAGGAAAAAAAATAACAATGTCTTTGGGCTTTTCTTTGCTGCAAGGGTGACTCTTAGATGTATATTAACACGTATTAATCAAAACTATGACACAAGAAAAGCTTTGATTCAATTTGATGATTGATATGTGAGGTTTAACGTCCCAAAACCACCATATGATTATGAAAGGCACTGTAGTGGAGGGCTCCCGAAATTTCGACCACCTGGTGTTCTTTAACGTGCGCCCAAATCTGAGCACGCAGGCGTACAACATTCCCGCCTGCATGGGAAAGGCAGCCGGGATTCGGTCCCGCGACCTGCGGATCAGCATCTGGGTACCTTAGCCACTAGACCACCACGGCCGGGCAGACAAAGAAAGCGTAGGGGATGGTATAAGTAGTAATTGTAATGCAAATGTGAAGAATGAAAAGTGGACGAAAAGGGAAATGACCTCTCATATAAAAAGAAAACAACCTCTCATAAGTATAACCCTTCATAGACAGTCATGCCGACTCTTTCGAATAGTCGTGGTACACACGACTTTCTGGCAGGTTTTGCGCATTTATCGACCGATGCCAAGCTATGCGTAACCTGCTGAATAAGCTTTCTTTAGGTTATCTCGTTTGTTCCTGGATCCACCGATGGGGGGGGGGGGGGGGGCGTGTGGGCTGCGTGAAGATATAAGTACAGTTCGTTGTTCAAAATAAACCAGTTGCGAGTTTGCGCCCGTGTTGTTCGCCTCTTTTCCTTGTGTCCGTGTACGTGTTTGCGCAAAGAAGTCATGAATGAGTACCAACTCGCCCAACTTTCAGTACTGTTGTTATGCGTAACCGGCTTACCACTACGGTTTCGTGGAGCACTTAGTGATTATTACTTCGTGTCAAGGCAGCGAGCAAACCAAGAAGGACTCCTTGTTGTCGATACCCCAGAACAAGGGTCTCAAACTCGCTTTATCTACAAGGGTTCAGTCACGAATATAAATAAAAGTACAAAGACGCCGACGTCAGGTGAATAGAAATCTAATGAGACGTTTCGGCACCCAGAACGGCAGCCTTCTTCACAATCTGAACAAGGCTCTTGTTGTGGGCCCCGAAATGGGTTATCACATCTTTATTCTCTTGAGGTAGGCGTTTTCGTTTTTTTATTCAATGATTCTTTCTTATCATACAGGCATCCATCGAAACCTTCATTTCAATCACAAATTAGAGCCCTCCTAAAGGCCTAAACAGGTAATGAATGGGGGGGGGGAGTAAAAAATGTCGGCTAGCAGTACCATTTCAAAGAAGCTTGTCTTTGCCCAAACAGCGATAATTATTCCGATTCTCAAATCTGGTGATACTCATGATCCATCTAACTACAGGCCCATATTGTTAACCTTGATACACTGTAAAATAATGGCGCACATCATGCTTTCCAACCTTGTCGTTGCATTTCTGGAAGAAAACAGCTTTTTCTCTAAGTGCCAACACGGTTATCGCAAATCCTTTTTCTGCGAGACTCAGCTGGTAACTTTTATCACTAATGAGTTACACTTGTATCTTGATAACGATTTTTTACCGACTATTTTTCTGGACTTGCTTCATTTTTTTTTTGTATGAAAACCTTATAGCAAAAAAGTTTTCGTGACGAGGCGGTTAAAGTAAAACCTGGGCAAATTTAATCATCAGGGAACGCATCGCTCTGCCATTGCCTTCCAGATTTGGCATCAAGATTTAATGAATTATTTTTTAAATGCTTGAAAACAAACATGCTTGTTTTTTATTACAAAGTACAAATAACCTATTAATGAAAATAACAGTACAGTATTAAGTAAAAAAAAAACACTTATTGTTTCGTCTTCTGTGATGCTAGGTGCGTGAGTCCAAGTGGTTTGCCCGCAACGCCCCTGTGGTTCTGTTGTGAAGTCGAGCCAGCGGGACAAGGCGGTGTTTTGCTTTGCTATCGTGGATACATGGCACGTACCCACTTTGGGGGATTGGCCAAGAATGCAGCGTAGAGAATGGTAAATGTAGTTTTAGGTAAGCTATAAAATTTTAAACCAAAAGTAAAGAAATCAAATGGCAAATATACGAAAAATATTCAGTTTAACAAGTAATATGCTTTTGAGCCTGCATTCCAGACTGCCGTAATGACCTGACGGAATAATTTTGAAAACTTAGTTTTAACCTAAACGAAATGACGAATAAGTTTAAATACCAGGTTAAAATGGCACTCGTTGAGTATTTATAATGAAATTACACACGGCATCAAAGGCATCCCTGTAGCAGTATCCCAAGCCTGAGGCAGCGAAACTTAAATTATTTTTTTCCGATAAGGTCAAGCCTACTTTCGTAAAAGAAGCAATTAAAAATTGAGTTCTGATACGAGAATATCTTACGCATGTAAAAAATATGTGCTATATTTTCCAGTTCTCCGCAGAATGGGCAGAGGGGTGATATCGTCAGACCAGCCCTGCACCCATAAAAGTTTAATGGGGGGGGGGGGGACACGACATCGAAATCTGGTGATCATCACTTCTGATTGTCGAGAATGGCTCCACTGCGATTTCCATGGATATTTTAGGTGACTATATTTCGTCCACGTGGTTATTGCTTTCATCCTCTTGTGTGGATAGCTGATCTTCTAAGCCTGATTGCGGTGAAGTATTCTACCACCGGGAGAACCTGACTTATTGCTAGATCTAGGGACGAGCGGGCTAAGGCGTCGGCCATTTCATTTAATGTAAACCCACAGTGACCTGGTACCCATACTAATTTTAGGTACTTCAGCTGAGACGGAACTAAAGATCGTAACAGTCGCTGATGGCACGAGAGGTATGAGAAGTTGTAAGAGCTGTGCATACCGATAGTGAATCAGTAATTATTATTGCTCTGTTCTCATTCCACGGAAGTTTTCGCAGTGCCAGTGATGACTGCCCTTAGCTCCGCCTCAGAAACAGGAGTGAAATCGGGTAGCCTCAAAGCAAATGACCAGCCAAGTGATTGGGAGACTATTCCTACGCCTGCCCTTTCCTTATTGACGGAAGCATCTGTGGCTATTACGTTACATGTCTGTGCATGCTGTAGCAAGTCTGCTAGTCCTGTTCTCCAAGGATTTGCGGGATTTAAATTTAGAATGTGGAGGAAAGATCTCATCACATTCTATATTAAGAATATGGTTTGAGATATCAGATGCAAGTTACGTTCACTAATGTTGACATTTATACTTCTCAATTTCTTTTGTACATAGATTATCTGCGGTGTATGAAAACGAGGCCAATGAGCGAGAAAGAACGAATCTGGGTCACTGAAGCTGTAAAATTTTAGAAATGTCTGTACTCTTAACAAGCGGAATCGACAGAGCAATGTAGGAAGACGCGCTTCCTCATAAATAACATTAATTGCTGTAAACCCAGGGAGCCCTAGACTACAAGCGCAGAGCTTCCGCTCCAAGAGAACAAACTGCTTAGTTTTGTACGCTGGTCCTCCTGAAACAAGACACGTCCAAATTCTAATATTGGGCGCATATACATTTTGTATAACATTAACATGCTGTCCCTACGTACGCCAAATTTGCGATTCCTCATTCCCCGCAGTAAGCCTAAAGCCCGTTGAGCCTTAGCCGCAATGTACTCTATATGTGTACTTCAGTTAAGTTTTTCATTGTACAAAACACCCAAATATTCAAGGGAGTCTACTTGCGGAATGGGTTCCTGGTTATATACAATGTCGATCGAAATGGACTCGGCTATGTGAGGCCATTGAAATTGACTGCACCCATCTTTCTAGCATGTTTAAGTATATTTGTATTTTTTGCTGTAGAGCATAAATATCATTGTCAGCAGAAAAGAAGGCTATGTCATCAGCATATACATAGACACAGATATCCTGGCAGTTCAGTATGGAACTCATCAGTATATTAAATAGAAGAGGTGAAAAAACTGGTTTTTGGAAAACAACACAATTCCGTTTGTATCTAGATGACGGTGCGTCTGCTTAGCTTCGTCATCATTCTGCAGTCTACTTAAAACGAGGCAAGACGCGCTCGTAACAAGACAAACTCTATGCAATATCCTGGCACGAGACGCTACATGCACGCGCAGCGGTGAGTGGTCGACGCTTTGTTTAAACTGTCAAATATACAACTTCAACGTCGCAGAAAATTTCAGACCTAGTTGCCTTAAGCCTCCTGGAAAGACAAAGGCGCTGCTTCAGTGTTTTTCACCGCACCCCACTGCCAACGCCTCCCAGAAAAACTATGCCTGGAATGTCGCTCTCTTTTCAATTGGGAGCCTCCTGCCAGCACGTAATCTCGAAGGCCATGCCTCCTGCCATAGAGTTTCATACAATAATACCTATGCCTCCTGCCTTGTGTTACGACCGGCCGCCACGCGAGCCCACTCACCTCCGTACCACTCAGTCACGTGACATCACGGCTGCTTGGAGGCCACTGTGAGAGCATTGCTGTGTTCGCAGGGGGTGGCCGTTGGAGACGCTCGCCTTCGTGCCGAAGGAGGAGAGTAAAATCAGAGGGTAGGGCAGACGCTCGCAGCTCACGTTCCAGGCAGAGTTTTAAAGATGATAGTCTTTCTTGGGGACCTTCCACACAAAAACTTTGGTCTGTCTGCCTGTCTGTTTGTCTGTCTGTACATTTGTCTGTTTGTCCACCGTTACCACGATCCAGGTACTTTAAAGAGCACCAGCCGATACCTCCCAAACGGCCAACCCCATCCGCAGCGCCCACCAATGTTGCTCAAAAATCAGCGTTCATACGTGTGCGATTGTTAATTAAAAAGCAATAATTATTGCGCATATCAGAGGCACCATAACAACACACATACTCTGCATGTTCGTCTCTTACTAGAAAAGGCATACACAAGTAATTTTAAGGACCGTAGCGCTTATCACGCTGCGCTGACCATGCAAAGCTTGCACGGAACGGGGAGTGTTTCCAACGCTTGGCTAAGACGAGATAGTGGTGGCACCTACCCGTCGCCTTGCGTCCTACACCTTATCTCTGAGACGGGCGCACACACCCGTCTCAGAGCCACGCGCTTCGTTTTCTAAGAAAACTGCCAGGTGGTGCTCATGTCTCACCTGTGACGTGACTTGATGCGCTTGTTCGCCTCCGCTGCACGCTCGAGGCACTCTAACGCAGCGCCTCCGGAATACCATTCACCGATTTTCTTGCGCAGAACATCAAATAAGTGTTTTTTTCAGTCTCTCCACGCTCAAGACTATCATCTTTCGACGACATTTGCAGATTACATGCAGATACGGGGCCAATTTTTTTTAGAAGGCGTTGCCACTACCCACTCTGCACAAAGAACAAAACTGAAAATGTACAAAAGGTCTGTAGAAAGTTCGCTAGCTAACACTATCCAATACGAAGTTCGTACTTCCCGTAATTCCCATGGAGGTACACGATCGCAGCGCCAGATTCCTCTCTGAGTATTCTTGTATGAAACTGATTCAAACCAATTACTCCATCGAGGACATCGTTCGACCTCATGGGAATGTACCTTTTAAGACCATTTCCTTTGTATTACTTTGGAAACAAATGGCTTATAGTGGCACTAGATTAGTGGACACATTATGCTAAGACAAACGCGTTAATCTGCGGCCGGGCTTGTGAAGTCGCAAAGCCCTCACATCTGCACATCACCCGGTTATGCACTGCTTCCGTGATCAGCCGACCTTTGACCGAGCAAATCACGATGACGTCGTGCTGCCATTACAACTTCTGTGACGTCTTGATAACGTCATCCCGTCAAGACTTTTCGCATTGCTCATATTCATGATGATGACGATGAATATTCGCGTTTTATGGGAAATCCCCTTTAAGGAGCATTGACAAAAATTCTGCATCATGTCTTTTTTTTTGCAATTGGCAGCTTAATTCCACTTACCACGGCTGGACTCTTTTTGGCGCGAGTGCGCATGGTTAATCATTTAGAGACGCTTTTAGAGCACCCAGTTATAAATAAGAGCAGTTCTGCGAGCAAGGTAAACACGTCTGTCTACGGAACCACGCACAACTGTGACGGGGGCGCCCACGCCCGAGAATATGCGCGAGCGGTGCCCGTTTACCACGCCAGTAGTGCCTGTATAGTGGCTAGAAATGTGCCCAGCCACTATAACCAGTGTGCAAACTGGTTTCACAGAACAGCCGCTTTCTGGGAAACGCCATCACCTGGCCCTATACAGCCATCACACGCGAAGCCGCCGGCACGAAGGAGGAAATTGCCTCGTGACGTAGGTTCGTCCATGTTACCCCTGCATTGACGTCGGCGTCGTGAGGGGCTCCGCTTCTCGCTCAGCACTTCAAAATTGATTTTAAATATGTTGTAGGCGCCCTTTGTATCTGGTTATTTTGTGCATGTCTCCACATAAATCTACTTTTTCTGTCAGTGCTCCTATATGTATACGAGAAAATTCCGCCGCATTCTTGCCTTGCGTTGATGAGCAGACGCCTGCCCTGATTGGGCTCGGTGATGTTGAAGAGCGTGTTGATGCCCATGCGCACGGCAGCCTTAGTCAGGTAGTACATGGTGGCGTTGTGGTCGGTGCGCGCCTCCAGAAACTCTCCCATGTCGTCCTCCAGTGAGAAACGCATTTGCGACGCCATGGTCTGGATCGAAGGATTCTGCACGGCAAACATCTCTCCTTTATTGTGACGTGCACTATCTTGCTCAGAATCATGGGACACTAAGTCAACGCTGATCGTTGAAATGGCGGTCCAGCAACCTCAAAGTGTTACTCTTGTGCCAAGCAAGGGCTTATATTCAAATAAAATCGCCTTCTAGGGGTCCGCATCAGGTTAGCGCACTCCAAATTACCCGTCTCAACGGAATGGCTGGCGTCCCCGTTGCCGTGCACACAGTAGTTTCCCGGCTTTAATGCGCGGTCGCCGACACTATACACAGTAAAATGTTTACACCCTTAAGGGTGTAAACTGGCTTGTTGCCAAAGGAACACCCTATGGGTGTTTTCAAATACACCCTACTGAAAGAGTGTTAGCTGAACACCCTACACGAAGGGTGTTCAGCAAAATGTTAGAGTGTTCTTATACTTCAACACCCTTCTGAGAGGGTGTTGAAAGGGTGTGCGACCTTCGAGAAATGCGTTATTCGAAGGTCGCAAGTTCGGTTCCTGTTCATGGCAAGTTATCTTTTCACCCACATTTCTTTCTTCACGTTTACATTACAATTCGGTCTAATAACTTCTCCTATACTTTCCTTGGCAATATTGTCTGTTTAATCTCATATATGTGTGTATGTGTGTGTGTGTGTGTGTGTGTGTGTGTGTGTGTGTGTGTGTGTGTGTGTGTGTGTGTGTGTGTGTGTGCGTGTGTGCGTGTGTGTGTGTGTGTGTGTGTGTGTGTGTGTAAGCAAGCTTACTGAAATGTAATGATATTCGTCAAAGCCTTCTTTGTAAAGCCGACTATAGAAATTTAGACAGCCTTTTATGGTTATACAATTAAATACAAATATTTAGTGTTAAATAGCATAAGAATCTCGGGTATATCAATTGGTGGCTCAGTGAGTCAATACAGCAAGGGTGCTTGGTATGCATATTTTTGTGTAGACACACAAACACATTATATTGAAAACATTATTACCCATAACAGTGCACACGTCTCATGCAGGATGCAGACATATACATATTTCAGCAACTTAATTTGCAGTTACACTTGGTATCACAAAACCATGCGAGTTCAGCCTCACCTAGTTCATTTCAAACTTTCTGATGATACAAAAATAACACAGCTGCTTTGGTAGACATCGTTTCCACTTATTGATAAATATCTTTTCCCACTTCCTAAAAGTAGACATATATCGGCGTAAGATAAATGTCAAGTACATGTACCACAACACAGGTTTTCTCTCAACTGAAAGCAAACACATTTATTATGATATTTCATACATACTACAGTTAGAGCATTTTACCGCCAATATTCGAACAGGTAAGGTCAGTGGCTGAAGAAAGGTGATTAACAAATCAGCCCTCACCCCATGAAGCTTCACCACGTATTAAAATTTCAAGTTTTATTTTTCAGCATCTTTCTAGGTAATATAGACAGCATCCATTTCTCAAAAACACACTCTTCACAACAAAATCAAAATGAGAGCCGACAGGTGGAAATGCCTCAGATAGGCTGACCAAAGTTTCGATAGGAGAACCTATCTTCGTCAAAGGTGCCTAGCCTTCTTATCCTTGGCATATTAGTTTCAAGGGGGTTAGTAAAGACGTCATTTCCTGGTGGTTGTGTCCCTGTTGGCAATCGTAGCCTGAAAAAAAAAACTATAAAGCAGGGGAGTGCAGTCCTTGCTTCATTTCAAGTTGGGTGGTAGTGATTCAGAATGTTCTTAGAGGGTGGAAAAAAAAGAAAAAAAACGAAACACCCAAAGTAGGAGCGGTGTGCTGCCAATGGGTGGCCGCTACAGACACGAAAAAAGCAAAGAGCTTGAAAGTTCGAAGCCAGCAGACGGTCTCCACGTTTGGCCATCACAAAGGGTTGCCGACGATAACGGCCTATGCTGTTCTTGAACATCTATCTATGAATGGGATTCATAAGAAAGAGGTTACAAAAAAGGCGCAAGAAAAAAGCAGGTGGCTACTTCTAAATGCCAAGATGTCAAAGGTAATTGACACCACATGTTTTCGGAAGACCATGTGTTTATTGGGGAAGGTCATTGGTTAAAATATGCTTTCACTATCCCCGTAGGTGTCCCGCTCAACGGAATTGCCTCAAGAATTTGGCGGCATGTTGGCAGAGAAATAGGCAAGTTCTGAATGCAAAGGAAATAAGCAACGACGAGAGAAACACAAAAGAAAAGAAAAAATGAAAAAAAAACGCGGATTGGTGGTAGGCGATACGCTAGCGTTAACAGACGAGGAAAGGAAAAAAGAGACGCAGAGAAATTTGTGGCTTGGCGATGACTTAATGGTGCACGGTAGGAGTGTTTTTTGAGGCGACAAAAGAGGTAAGAAAGCTGTGGTTGAAAGGTTCTGGAAAATAAAAACTTCGTAGTTTTGTGTATATAGACACATGTATATCTATAACTAAAATTTTAAAAATTTTGAGTGAATATTATTATTACATTATGTAGGTTAGGAGTGATTCCATGTAATACCAGTTATGTCTATTTGAAGGTTGAACGTTTCTAGTCCCTAAATACGGCTGCAATTATGCAATGGCTTTCAGCGATTCCGAATTACCACGTGTAACATTGATTCCTGATGGGTGTAGGGACATTAATTTGCGTATAAAGTATGATTTCATGTTCTCTCGTGGTAACCGGAAATTATTTTGTAGAACGTAAAGCTTATATTTTTTGAAATTGTGGTCCTGTTGGTGGAAGTGACCGGCTACTACTTTCGGTAAATTGTGCTTTGTGTCTGCACGGTGGCCGTTCAGTCTTACGTGAATTGGCGGCCCAGTTACGCCTATATATTGTTTTCTACAGTTGGCACACTCAGAAAAGTATATTAGGTTGTTTAAAAGTGCAGGTGAAGCTCTATGTGACCTTGTGAATGTAGTCGGATGCTGTGCTTTTTATGTTGGTAGCCGGCTGTATATATTTGCAGGGTGAGCACCTGGGCCGGCCACTGGGATCAGACGTCTTAGTCTAAGTTTGCGTGAACAAGCATGTCTTTAAGTTAGCGTTGCAAATGCTACGTGCCACGCATTGCAAATTCCCGCAAAACTTAAAGCAAACACTAGGATGTCTGGTCCCTGTGGCCGGCCCGGATGCTCCGCCTGTAAAAATATATAGCTGGTTAACAACTTAAAAAGCACAGTATCTGACTACACTCACAAGGTCCCATCGATCTTCATCTGCAGTTCGAACAACCCAATATACTGTCTTAAGTGTGCCACCTGCAGACATTATATAGGCAAAACTGGGCAGCCAATTCACGTAAGACTGAATGGCCACTGTGCAGACACAAAACACAGTTTACCGAAAGTAGTAGCCTGTCACTTCCACCAACAGGGCCACAATTTCGACCAAGCAAAGTTTTATGTTCTACAAATTTCTGCTCACCAAGAGAGAGGAGATACATGGAATGATATTTGATACACAAATGTAAGCACCTACACCGATCACGAATCAATGTAGCACGTCGCAATTCGGAATCGCTGAAAGCCATAGCATAATTACGACAGCATTTAGAAATGAGAAAGGTTCAACCTTCAAATAGACATAACCGGTATTACATGGAATCGCTCCTAGACTACAAGTGTACTATTGATGTTCTCTCGAAATTTTTTAAAATTATAAATATAGATATACATGTTTATTTATTTATTGTTTATTGAAAATACCTTACAGGCCAGAAGGCATTGAGTAAGGGGGGGTTACAGTGAAAAATCGCATGTAAATTTCAAAATAAAAACGGTACAATGTCGGTTAGTAATAACAAAAAAAAATTAACAAAGCAATAAGTCAGCAATACGTAAACATGGCGATGAAGTATATAAGAACACTCCGTAACATAAAAACCCTCGGAAAAGAAGTAAAAGAACGTCAAGATGAAATATTAAGGAAATGCGTCTGAACTTTTTGCCGAAACGTGTTGGGGTTGCTATCAGAGGCGATATCGTCGGGAAGATCATTCCACATGCGGATGGCTTGTGGTAGTGCGGATGTGTTGAACGCGTTCGTGTTTCCAAAAATGCGAGTGAAGCTGAGATGGTTATGTAATCTGCGTGACGTGTAGAGCGGGCGTTGAAGGTGCAACGACGATGTTTTGCTACTGTAGACGTACTTATGAAATAGGCATAACAAGGACACGTGACGACGAACATTTAATGCTTGGAGGGAATGATGGAGTTTAAGCTGAGTCACACTGGAATTGATGTCATAGTTTCTAGAAATGTAACGGGTGGCTCTGTTCTGGATTGTTTCCAGCATGTTAATTTGATACTGAGCGGAAGGGGACCAAACAGATGAGGCATATTCAAGTTGCGGGCGGACGAAAGTTAGGTAAGACATTTTGCGAATGTTAGTGGGACAACGACGAAGGTTTCGGCGTAAATACCCCAATGTTTTGGAGGCTTTTGCACAAACGTTAGTGATGTGATCAAACCAGGAAAGCCCTGGTGTAAGGTGGATGCCAAGATACTTGTAAGAAGTCGCCGTGGAGAGCCTGTCACATTGCATATGGTAAGTGAAGTTAGATATGACCTGTTTACGTCCAAAAGAAACAACTTTACACTTATTAGTATTCAACCTCATAAGCCAAGTGCTGCACCAGTTAGAAATAGTGTTCAGATCATCTTGAAGGATGGAGTGATCGTTAAGACAGTTTATAGGTCTGTAGAGCATGCAGTCATCAGCGAAGATTCTGATATGCGATGATATGTTAGTTGGGAGGTCGTTGATGTAGATAAGAAAAAGTAATGGGCCAAGAACGCTCCCCTGTGGGACGCCAGAAGAGACATACGAAGCGGGAGAGGAAGAATTATTAACGATTGTGAACTGCTTGCGAAGTGACAGAAAATTGCGTAGCCAAGATAAAGTGAGGGAGTCTAATCGGAGGGCAGATAATTTTGAAATAAGGCGACAATGGGCGACACGATCGAATGCTTTGGCGAAATCAAGAAATATGCAATCAGTCTGTAGGCCATTATTTATGTTG